ATTACGTGATGTCGATCGTTATTTTCTGAATTATGATGTCGGGTAATCTTGTAAGTGGTTACCAACATTTCGCAGAGACCCTGAAGATGAGAACTGTATGATCATCCGAAAACGGTGGTACTCACCTACAACACTACATGGCATCAAACCAAGATTACCTCAGTCGACATTTTCACCGCCGTGACAATCTCAAATCTCACACAACTTACGACAGTTTAGGCCCACATGCGCCCACCTTTTGCTTTTGTGAATTCTACCAGTGACGTCAGAGTTTTGCAGGGTCAATTACCTATGTATCTGTATGCGGAGTGTCCGGCACCCGGCTGAGTTTCGGCGCAATCACGGAGGATCCACCAAACTGGTTGAGCGACTGGCTGGGGATTCCCCTCACGGAATTCCCGTTCTGTGTACTCCCAAAGCGTAGATTACGCACCCAGTCATTTCCGCACACCAAAACGCATGTACTAGGTATCATGTAAAGTGCCAGTTATCATTGTCCAGTCTCAACGAAAGAACTTACATATTTCCACAAATTTCGGCAAACTCCCCAATATCAAATTTCATGAGAATCTATTCAGTCGTTCTCGAGTTATGTGCGCGCAGACGGAAGGATGGAGGTATTTTTTACAGGGGCTCTGTAGAGGTGCGGACGGGCCTAAAACTGCATCCGATTGCCACGTTATTTCAAATGTTACTCAGTGTACAAAATTAACGCCATTAAACGACCTACTCGACATAACTTGTACTTATTTTATACGACCTGCACGTGACTCACTGCTTGCCGTTATAAATTTCGACCACAATTTTGTCAATACTTGAACCAATTTAACTCGCTCTGAACAGACCGGGTATTCGTTTAAATTAAAAATTTTATGGCAAAATTATCGTGACATAAAACAGGAGCAGTATTATTTAAACCGGTATCTCTTCATTTACAGGCCTTACACGTGCAAATCCTCTTTCATTAATGAAATCACGTACCGCCGGCTGAAGCACAGTATTTGGCTACAGTAATTATGAATCTGAAATTTCCAACTAGAAATGAGTAATTTTCTTCATACGCCCGTTTAGATACAATTAACAAATATGTTATAGTGAGAATTCAGGTTCTCAGGGCGGCGAGTATGTCGACTGACTTCTGGGATGTGACAGAAGTTCACCGGGGTTTCAGAGATGCTTGCTGCCGCCATCATCAGGACGTATATCTCAGCAGACTTCACCGCAGAAAGGCATGAGCACATTCTCTCTATTTCTCGAAGAGAAAAAATCAAGGTCAAATTACATAACACATTAATTTAATTAATTATATAGTCCTTATACATACTGGGATATCCGACTGCTTTTATCTTTAGCTGTGATGTAAGGACATATGAAAAGTATTCTGAGTTAACACAATTTTCAACAAATTTGTTATTTCCAATTAAATGTTACTGCTGACTTCTGCATTCAGTACCACACACATAAAACGGCAAACCTGTCACGTTGCTATATAGAAACGCAAAGCATATTTTGTGTTAATGGTTATAATATGAAACAGGTAATGAATGACAAGCCACTATAGACGCTTTGCGCGGAAACCTAAGATCGTTAGTTACCACGTGGTACATAACGAATGAAAACAATAAAAATGCCCCGCCATTACCAAAACAAAACGATAGCACGCTCAACATACAATAACATAACATAACATCACATCACACATTCTTTGGGCTTCATACTAATTTATGTTAAGAGAACTGCAAGCTGTCACACTGATTAAATCAGACATGACTATGTATTAACGAAAAATATTAAGTGTTCTTCCACTCACCGTTTGACAGACAGTCAGGAGGTTAGTAAACACCTCCTCTTCCACTCCTTCACTCGAGCTGTCAACGACAATTTCTCCTCTTTTGTTTTTTGTGTAATATTTATTTAGTTAATTACCTTCTCGCGTATCTCGATGACTAAAGATTTGCAAAGAAATGTGTACCACGTTGTCACACGAAGCACGAACTAATCGCGGCCACCCAACAGCGTCTACTGGCGGCAATCGACTAGCTGCCTCATGTACGATTCGACCTGACAACTGCGCTCGCTGCCGCGGCTTCGAGAACTAGTACGTAGGAAGTATAACGCCGTAACTGCACGTGTGTAGTTTTACTCCAGTGCAGCACTTATCCAAATTCCTGTCTCTGCGGGGGGTCTTCAGGGACCACATAAAAATTCGGATTAATTAATCATTGATCGCGCATGTTATGCAGAAATAAGTGATTGGCAGAACTATTAACAAAACGTGTAGGCGCAATGCAATCATATATGTCGAACATTCTTTCATCTTCATTTTATTGTTGACTTCAAACCCTAATCACCATTTCTCACAATGAAATCCAAGCAGCCTACTTCAAAATAAACTACTATTTCCTTTCCATACCTGTGAATAACTGCAATAACCAGAATCGCATTAAACGTAGATGCGTCAATTTATATAACAGAACTCCTTTTATAGTATTTCGACACATATTAAAAATTGATCGTAATAGGGCTATACAGATATTTAATTAGTAAATTTATGTCTACTTCATATCTGATTATGAGAATTACATTTTGTTTGATGCCTTTTCCTTTACCCCTTTAAAAACTGTACTTGCTGCTCTGTATCGGATATGTTTATCACCTGTAATCAACTGCTACGGTAAAACCTATTAGTAAGGAACTTCAATATATCTGCGTACACACCATATGGATAGTTCTGAAAATTACAACACACCACATATAGTTCTGTTACTGAGTAATACATATTTTTAGTTTTCTTTCTATCAATTTCTATTTTCCATTTCCCCTCCTTCCTTTTTTTGATTTCTCCTGTGCACCAGTTAACTATCCTGCACATATTCCGCCGACAGTCGTCGACCTTAATTGTTTCGTATTTGTGGCACGAATGTCTTCGCAGTTAAATTTTATGAAGCACTCTTCGAAGAAAAACTTGAAGGTTTTCTTCGATTGTCTCCTGCCAATCACAGTTCCGCACATGATCCATATATAATTCAAAGACATGAACATGTTTGTGACACAGGCCCTCTCAGTCTTCATAATCTATTTACCTTTTATCCGGAATTTCATGTGACGTAAATCTGAGGTTAAGCTAATTTTAATTGATAGATTTATATTATATAACCTACGATACAAACATGACACAGGCTTACGCTCGTTGCGAGCGCCTGGCTAGTTGCAATATGAATTTCATATAATTGTTACGACCAAAAAAGAGGTTTCAACTTAGCATACTCGTACAGTAAGAAGCCAGTTTTATTTAAATTATAGACACACCCATCGCTATCTGGCGGTTGTGTACAGTGCACACGCAAAATACAATAAACGTGACTAGACATAATCATTGAAAACGTGATTTACAACCCCTTGAGAATACAAACAGGGCTACTCCAAATTCGAATACACATTTTTCAAATTTATTTGCAGTTATTTATAAATTTCAATCCTCATTAGTCTTCATTTACATTTACTGCAGACACAAACATGTTGTCTGAATGTTATTATTTCACATGTGAGATATGGAAATGAGGATATCTCCCTAAGTAATATTCCAGGATTTAAACTCTTGCATGTTGAGCATTACACGGCAAATCTATATTATATAATTCAATCCTTGCATGAGAGTCTTCGGTATACTTCGGGCAGAACTCTGACATTAACCAAAGCTATTAGAATATTACATCGTGACCGCTCTCCCATAGCACACACGCGAATCCTGAAGGACGACTGGAATAACGTGAATCCACAAGAGTAACACAATTAATTCCACAAACGAAATGGAGTGGTATTGGAGATTTATAAATACAAGTTCCTAGGCAGGTTCACTATTAAAGACGCTTAATCATTTAATAGGAATTCATAATATTGATGGCATGGTAAAAAGGGACATACCAGAACTGTCAATAGTTATGTTGGGGTTGCCACTAGCAATAAAGCTATTTTCAGAAACTACACTTCGGTAAACAAAGAACAGTACAACAATTTGAAATCCACTTGTTGGATTGGATATTGATGCAACTCTGCCATACATTTCTGAAACAGTAGGACATAATGATATGTGCAACTAACATGCAATAAATCCTGAAAAAGACTGGAAAGGTTAAATTTTCAGAGTACAAAAAAGTCCCAAACGTTTTTAAGCCACATTACATTTTCTCACTTCCTAAGTTTACGCATTTGTCACATTAGTATTACAGATAGCATAAAATTAAAAAGTTCGAGGTTAGAGTAGCCTCCAGTGGCATAAGTTTTATACGAAATTTAATGAAATCCGGCCAACCATTTTCTAGTTATTACATGCATACCGTCAGCTTATTGTAGATAATCAATTGATAAAAGAAAGTCATTCAGTTTCGGGTCCCAAGAACCCCACCCTCCAAAATCTCAGTTTTGGTAATGCTAATAATAACAGAACAGAAATGCAACTTTTTCTTGATGAACAATAATTGTATCTATAAAAAAGTAAAGTAAAAGCTGGCCAATATACGCCATGTAGGCGCTTGGGTGGAGAGGTGGTAAACTTGGCACTAGATGGGGTTGAGTGGTCAGCATCACGTCCCGGCCGCGATTAACCCCCGGGAAAGGACCCCGGTATCCATTTGACAGGAGGCTGTGTGGGCCCCAGAGCCGGTTTGGACGCACCCTCGGGGATCGAACCACGGTCGTCAAGTCCGTAGCCAGTCACTATACTGACTGAACTAGAGAACTTATAAAGGTATTTTGTACGAAAATTTTGCTATCTTTAAATATGATGCAAAATTGGTAAGCAATTGTTAACAGCGTAATTGTGTATGTGATTTAGTCCACCGTAAAGTATTTTGTTCTTGTATACCTAGGAATAAATTTTACATTCTATACTTGGATAGCCAAGAGTGTCTTTGACTTGCATTGAATTATAATCAGGTTAGACTGGCAATTTTAAGTAGCTGAGATGTCCACAAGACATTTATTACTATTTGTCACTCAAAGTTCAAGTTTGGATACACATATAGAAAGCTGTGAGAAGCTAAATTCACAACAGACAAGATGGCCGCTGTGTTGTTGCAGGAAAGTCGATTGATATAATAGTTTCACGAATAAAAAGTGAAGATATTCGTATTCAGCATATCTATATTGCATGGTTTTAAATAGTCTACTTCACAGAGAAATGGATACAGTAGTGCAGATTAATTCAGGAGAGGCCGGTATTGAAAAACAAGGAAGGTAGGTTAGGCTAGAGAATGTAAATAAAATGACATACGTCATAGACAATCGGTGGTATTTATAAAACATTACAATAAGAGAGTATGAATTGAAAAATAAAGAGCGTTTTCACAGTTATGTGAATCATACATTGCCCCCCAAAAATCATTAATTGTAATATAAGTGATACATGATTTGTATAAATGTTTGGGAAATGTGTTGCAAATTGGCTCATAGTCCTGCTTACAAGAACCCATCCTTCACTGAATTCACATAGAAATTAATTTGTGTTCTCTGAGTTACGTCTTAATGTTCCTCTTATAGTTGCTTGCTGCTTCGTTATGCAAGTCAGAATTCACTTGATGAGAGTTCTCAGAAACATGTACCACGACCAAGCAGTAAAGAGAAACCACCATACCGAAATCACCATCACACTCACAGGGCATTTGATGTAATGAATGTAATGAGGAAGTAAGTATTTACATTACACACAATTTTAAGCCCACTATTAAAAAGAAGAAACAATTGAAATATAGGGTTTGCTGTACATTTTATAATATAATTTTTTCATGTTTTTACACAGGCAAAACCTATTGTGTGATGTAACACTAGTTGCTGACAGCATCGAAGTACCAGCCCATAAGATGGTGTTGGCAGCATGTAGTCCGTATTTCTATGCCATGTTCACAAGTTTCGAAGAAAGTAAACAAGAACGTATCACATTACAAGGAGTAGATTCTCAAGCATTACAGTTGCTAGTAGAGTATGTCTACTCATCAGAAGTTCATGTAACAGAGGAGAATGTCCAGGTATGCTAGAGGCTTAAATTCTATAATTTTCTTTACCTATTTCCACAGGCTGTTACATTTAAAATATAACCCAAACTATGACAGTATATGTTAGCTTTGGTGACATCATATGAGGTTCCTTTTCATGACCTGTTTCCTTCAACCATATGCTCATCACTAATTTAATAGCAGCCCACTCGCTCCTCAGATCCATCATATCCCGCAGGTTTCAGCAAATGGATGGATAGGTGTTATTTATCCCAGAGTATTCTTACGTGAACCATGTATAGCTTATGTATTTAAATGTTTTCAGGTATTGCTTCCAGCAGCAAATTTGTTACAGCTGACAGATGTGAGGGATGCTTGTTGTGATTTCTTACAAGCTCAGTTGCATCCAACCAATTGTCTTGGAATTAGAGCCTTTGCTGATCTTCATGGTTGTCTTGAACTATTGAGTCATGCAGAAACATATATCGAACAGCATTTTCCGTAAGTTTTGAATGTAATAAATCTGTTTTTGAACAAGAAATTGTCAGTGTTTTCATTAAATGAATGGTGTTGACTGACTTCATGTTCAGACTAAATTTTAATTGGAATCTACTAGGTTTATTTACAACTAATTGAGTTGAGTCATGATATGAAATTTTGATATTATTTGTTTTGTTATTTTTAGGGAAGTTGTGGAATGTGAAGAGTTCCTGACATTATCTCATCAACAAGTTTCCAAACTAATTTGTAGTGACAGGCTTACAGTTCCATCAGAAGAAAAGGTTTGAAGCCTACGCTTTCCTTTATAATTTTGTCACCGTATACATTATTTTCCTACAAAATAACTGCAGTTGTGATTTCAATCCATTTTGTACTTAAAGTTGTCCAAGTTGTTTGGTTGGTTGGCTGGTTGCAAGAAAATTCTTGATTGTAAAAGAATTAAATGAAATGTACATATTTGGAATGTAATACTGTTTTATGTTATATCAATGGACATGTTAACATTTTACAATACCGCCTTCTTACTAGTTATTCTACAAAGTGGGTGCACTGAGAATTTTTGAATATTAAAATATGTGTGCAAAGAGAAATGTAAATGTTAAAGTGTCATAATTACTCTGTTACAGGTATTTGAGTGTGTGATTGCATGGGTTCACCATGACTTGGAAAACAGGCAAATGCACTTGGCAGAATTGATGGAGCATGTCCGGTTGCCATTACTGTCACAGGAGTACCTTGTACAGAGGGTGGAGGAAGAGCCACTGCTGAAAGCTAATTTACAGTGTTAGTTTCAATACAGTTTTCTTTCCCATGACATATGTTATTGTTACAGAAAGTTTAAATTGTTTGCATTCATTGTCCATTGCAGGTAAAGATTACCTTATTGAAGCTCTGAAATATCATTTATTGAAAGGTGAACAGAAGATTTTGTTTAAAACACCAAGAACAAAACCACGACAACCTGTAGGATTACCCAAGGTATGTAAGGTGTGCCATTAAGTGGGGATTGCAACATTTAAGACACCTTATAATTATGTTGGTTGTAGGTGTAGCGTACTGTAGTTGACCATATTAAAGTTGCAGGTTTTATAATCTTTATACAATTGTAGAATGATTAAAATACTAAGTTGTGTGTTCTGTTGTGTTATTATTAGGTACTTCTTGTGGTGGGTGGACAGGCTCCTAAAGCAATCCGGAGTGTGGAATGTTACGATTTCAAAGAAGAACGATGGTATCAAGTAGCAGAGATGCCAACAAGGCGCTGCAGGTGGGATGATAGTGCAGTGTTGCTTTTCCTGTAAAGTAATATGAATGTACATAATTGTTTTATGAAGAAAATGCCTTACAGATTGTCAGCAAAAATTTGGTAGTTGCGACGCACTACTTCGAGGGAATGACATACTATTGGAGCTATATGCAAGATACTTAAAGGAAGCCCATTCTGTATATTTAGGAAAAGAATTCTAACTTATAACCTTTTGCAGTCTAGCAATATTGTATAGTAAACATTGACATTTCAGGGATTAACTTAACTGGGGTCATCATACCAAAATTTCCATTTTTTTCAGCGTGGAATCCTGTTTATGTACCTCATCCAAATTTTTAGAACCTTTTACAACAATGTTGGCATCTTATTTAAATATAATGTTGCTTATTGTCTAAAATGTTTCTAAATTGTCGGGTGGGAGTCTGTTAAATTAATTTTGACTACTATTACCATATAGGGCTGGCTTATCAATGATTGGTGGCTGTGTGTATGCCGTGGGTGGTTTCAATGGCTCCCTGCGGGTGAGGACTGTTGATGTGTATGACGCAGCTTTAGATCAGTGGTCTTCCTGTGCCAGTATGGAAGCACGAAGATCAACCCTCGGTGTTGCCGTTCTGGGAAATTGCATTTATGCAGTAAGTTCATAATGCAGTATACATGAATTCACTCAGAACATTTATATGCTCATATTTTCTTATGTAAGTAGTTATTTCATAATTGTTTTCAGGTGGGTGGATTTGATGGCTCAACCGGTCTGAATTCGGCAGAAATGTATGATCCACGAACTCATGAATGGAGGATGATTGCTCCTATGTCCACTAGGAGGAGTAGTGTGGGGGTTGGTGTCGTAAATGGGTTGCTTTATGCTGTAAGTCTCTGTCCTGTTATGGCAGGATTATATGTGATGATCTGGCTAAGAACAGAAGTAAAACACTGTAAATGAAGCGTTAAGTGGTATCTTGCTTATCTCCTATGTGTGTGGCCAGTTTACTTGGGAATTTTTTATGTGGACATAATAGTGAACAATAATTGGTGTTGTAGCAGTAGACCCATTGCTTGGCCTCCGAGTTCACCAAATAAGATGCCCCTCGCGATTGCTTTGTATGTGGGTTAGTGAGGAACATTGTGAATGCTGAAGAATAAATAGTCCATGGATATTAATGACCTAAAGGCAAAAGTTATCGCATCTTTCCAGCAGGTGTTGGATGACATGGGAAATTGTGGCCTCAAGTTATGAACTGTGCATTGAGAATAACATTTCTTAATCATAAACTATGTAGTAAAAGTATGATAAATGTTGAGGTTAAAATTTGATGTAAAAATGTTTTAATTTTATTTGTACCATGACAGATGAACCTGTATTCTCTGTTACTTATTTGATAGGAGTGATACTTATGGGGTTAGATCTAGGAATTCAGAATGTTATAAATTGCATGTAGAATTGTTTATCTTACATTTGCATCATTCTGAAGAATGAAATTTCAAGAACAGTGAGTTAACTATTAATCTCGCTCTCTCTCTCTTTTCCCCAGGGATGCAGAGTTCATACCCTTATTTTCTGTCAAATTTTTAAAACTGAATTGTGAGGTGCTATAAACAAATCAGTGATGGCTTAGTTTGCTAATTTGAAATGCTGTTCTGCTGTGGGTACCATATTTATTCAGAT